GACTTAAGGCAGATCTCTGATCCTTGGAAATGTCTTGGCTGAGCATTCATTGGGTTCACACATGTGACTAGCACTATTTGTTTTTTTGGCAAACATGGGACAGGTGGCATGCTGTAAATAAAGTTCTGCCAACATGTAAATTCAGTAATAATTGTTGTCTTAGCACAAAATACGCACCTGATCTGGGGAGAACAATTTCAGGACAAAATTAGATGTCGTTCTAACCCCATTCTCATAGTTATTGCATAAATGTGTATTAACAATATACATCCAATAAAAAATATATATATTCTAGTATAAAATCAAACAGCCTTAACTCTTGCAATAAGTTTTTAGAAGAGGCTTGAGGCTATATTGTCCAGACTGCTTTTGAGCCTTATTGGAAGCCCACACATAGGCCCTGCTATTGCTGGATGTAGAACAAGTCCAAGTCCATGAAACCCTCAGCAAAAAAAGTTAAGCTGAAAGAATGAATCCAAGTAATCCACTAAACGCTTCATGAGCAGCAGTTGCTGGCTCTGTCTCTCTCCTGATGCTATTTTATTTATTCTGCACCAGCCAAATTGTGCTGAGATATCAACTTTTCTGCTGTCCCATGTGGAGGAAGTAGAATGAGTTATAAAGCAGACCACGCAGATCACCTGAAGTAAGTGAAAGCGCACGCCTGAGCCGACCAAGTATGTTGGCAACACAGACAGACAAATGACCAACTCCTTGGATCACTTGCAGACACTACAACAGAAATCTGACTTAGTTTAGTGTGTCCCTCCCTCCCCCCGTATTTTATGGGGAAATACCCTCAGAATGCAGTTTTCTATGAAAACAAAAAAATAAATAAAACTGTCTGTGGCATCCATTAATTTTTTTTTGTCCTGATGTTGTTGAATGGCTATAAAAAAAAAAGATAAATCTGCTTTCTTTCCTCAGTGACTTATAGCAAAGAGACAGTTGGAGGAATAATCCATACACCAAAGAGCAAATTTTAAAACTTTTAGAAGAATCATCTTTGAAGACGAGACAAAGAAACCTCAATACTTACTTGAGAAGAAATCCTCAATTAAGACATCAAGCCCAACTAAGACAATGGTGCAATTTCAAGAAGTCTATTGATTTTCCCCTTCTGCTTTTTTTTTTTTTTTTTTACTTCCCCCCATTTTTTAAGGAGCTGATTAAAAAAATAGTTAAAAGGAATTATTTTTTAAACTGTATTTAAATATTTTCACCATCATACAGAAGTAAAGCAGCCAGTAAAACCACATGAGTACTTACTTTGAAAAGGACAAACTCTGATGACACATATTTCCATTTTAGAAATGAATCAGGATGGTTATTTTTATTAATAAATGTATCCTTTGAGCTGGAGATGAGAAGGTTTTTGGTGGGTTTTGTTTGTTTGTTTGTTTTTAGAAGACCACAGAAAGAACCTAAGTGTAAAGGTGTTACTCCCAAGCATAGGATCCAAAATATCTCCAAAATCAAATTCTACAGATTTTGCTCTTAGCTCTGTATTTATCTCTCATAAGAAACAGTGGAAGAGGAGTAGGAAGATGCTCAGAGGGAATGAGCTGCACGTTTTTCTGTGCATAGCTGCCATCTACCTTTGTAAGCTTTAAGGTATCCTAGTTAAGTCTCCCATTAGGAGGGGCCTGACGGAGCTGCTCAAGGTCAGGAGCTTGAGCTCCAGGAACTGTGCCCTGCCTTGGGACTTGACAGGAATGCCACTCTGGGCACCAGCCACCCAAGGAAGGATTCTGCCAGCTTTGTAGGAAAGAGCTAGGAAAAGAAGAGAGAAGATGCAGTAAGCAAAAGGTGAAGCCTTACACATCCAAAGAGCAATTTCTTTAAATCTGACCTTAAACTAGTCTACTTACTATAACAGTGGATACAAGTTGAACTCTTTTTTTTTTTTTCTTTCTTTCAAGTTGCTCTTCTAAGAATCGCAATCTCTCTTCCCTTCCCCCAAATAATCTTAATAGAACAGAGACACTTCAGGTTTTCCACATAAACAGAACATGAAAAAAAAAAATGTTCTCTCACATTATATATACACAAGTGTGTATAATTAAGTTGGTCTAGCTTTTATTATATAGGTCATGTTATGTAGGGCAAGTAACTTATGAGCCAGATCAATGTGACACCAGCGAGACCATCTGACAGGTTTATCCAACAGATTGGTTAGGTTAAACCTCTGTACTCTAATTCCCACTAACATACCTGTTTGGTCATCAGCATAGAAAGGCTCCCTATTTCCCACCAGCCCCACCTCCTCACCTTCCTCAGTGCCCCCTACATTGTCTTTCTACGCGGGTAGAAGAAAACAGTGTCTTACAAATACAGTAATAGTGATTTTTCAATTAATGAGCCCTCTTCTGTCTTGGGCTCAAATATCAGCCAAGAAAACTACAAGTGCTGATCTAGTGACCTTTTGGAGCCTTTCCATCAACACCAGCTAAGACACAGATCACAAATTCTTTCTCCTGGAACAAAACATGTGAAATACTACTACTAACCCCCCTGTATCACTCTATAATAGAAGAATTACACAGTTATGTGGTGTTTGCATTTTACCATATTGCCACTCCAGTAGGACAATAGCATCAGTGACCATTTCCATTGCATCACAGTCAGAGAAACCTAAGCCACTGGACACTTACCAATTAAATTTTACAATCAAAGAAGATGAAGACACTTAGTTCAGATTATGTTTATTTTTACAGACTCACAGCTGGGGTTCATCTCTACAGTGCCTCACTAGGCAGATTAGCAAGGCATCAGTGAATGCTCCTCCACAGATGCTCTTTATTTGCTGAGCAGGAATTGCAGCAGTGTCAGGCTATCTTGGGCTTTCAGCTTTATTCCTCACACACCCATCTTTGCCAGTGAACATGGAGACTCGCAGAGGCTATGGGAAGAGTCCTCTCCCCCAGTGAGGAGGCTTGCCATTCAGGAGTCCCATATCTGATATTTTCGAAGAGCAATATTTTATTCTCCATCTCTCCTCTCTGGAAATGGTGTCAATCATCCACCCTTTCCCCCAACAGGCGAGAGTGCTCTGCAAGTTTCCGTCAGCACTGCAAGTCTGAAAACTATGTTATCCATGGTTCATTGCTTTGCCTTGACACATTTAGGATTTTCCCTCAGAGAGGTAAGTTTTCTTTGGGGGCAGGGAGAGAACCTCAGCCACCACAATATCCCAAACACACACACTTCTCCTTTCACTGCTCCTTGGAAAGGCACAAGGAAACAGTGCTGCTAGCATCACACACATTAACAAGTATGATGAAAGTCTTAATAGAAAGCTACAGACAGTAGCGAGGTGTCTCCCCCCAACACACGCACACACATTACTGATGAAGTGCTGATGAAGTTGCATGTAATTACCACTTTCCCCTATGCTGACTCAGCTTTCAAGTACATCTTCAGACTCAGATATATCGCTGCACTCCTACAAGGGAACCTCATAAATGTCTTTCTTTAAATATGTATTTGCTACCAACAGAACACAGTTTTCCTGTTACCATTTGTATGCAACCCTTGTCCTGATTTCTACCTCACACTACTAAGCTCACCTTCCTAGGCTCCTAACATGATATTATTTATATCAGTAAAAATTGAACCTAGAATCTGGCTGAGATAAGGTCTCAAAGCTCTTATGAGCAACTTCTAACCCTGAAGTGGATTTCAGCCACAAATAAAAAGAGCTGTGTTCCATCTATTGTAAAAATATGTTTATTTCAGTCACTATTGTCACAGCCTTAAGCAGAAAAGCATTAGATGAAGACCATGGTCGTTCGTAACTGTGCTGTTAGCATGCAAGGTTCAACTCTGATTCCTCTCACTGTCCTCTTGCACCAACAAGTGCTTCCCAGTTCTTTTTCTGTTTAAAAGGCAGATTGTTTTGATCTTGAGTAATACCACTAATAATTTAAAGCTACAAAAGAAGTAGAAAAACTAAGAGATGAAAGCAGGGAGAGTGAGAAAGAGGCAAGATTCTACAAATAGACTTCTCATAGATCATACATAAAAAGGCATTAAAGTTTCAGAAAGGTCAGCAGCTGTATAAATGCCCTAACATAAATAGAAGCTATATTTATTTCCAAACAAAGCACATAATCAAAAATGCCTCATACCCAGCAACATCATTACAATAGCAGAAAACTCAGCAGCCTCTAACTAATAAGCCCAGAATTTTATTGCATTCAAGAGCACCAGAGCAGCCTTTACTGTCATTACAAGCAGGTAGTATCTCTCAGAGCTCTCAATTTCAAACCACTATAAACACAATATTTTGTTTAGAACACATCAGAGTTGAGTGACACTTCAAGACCAAGTTTCCTTTCTGTAGTTTTTAATAATTTCAGAATACCTTAGCTCATCTTCACTAGGCAACATTCAGACCCTTTTTTTCTGCAGATGAGGAAGAACAAAGCCACCACAGCTGCTCATCATGAGGCCTCTTCCTCCTGGCAAGAACTTTCACCAAGATACTGAAGACCACTTCTGCAAGGAACAAGTTCATAGCTCCATCCGATGCTGTCACCAGCTCACTAAGCCATGCTTAAAAGCCAAACTTAAAACCTTTACTCCAATTCCTCACTTGCAAACAAGTTCTACACAGCCTTCCTATCTCTGAAATGACCAAGTAGGCTCTTTCTAATAATGAACTCTCTCCCTGACCATTACTAGAGCCTCTAAACACCTGGAAGACCAACAAGCAGAAAGAAGAGGAAAGGGGCCAGCTCACAAGATTTGTGTTGGTAGCTACATAGGCCCTGCAGAAATATTCTTACCACACAAAGCTTTCCCCCCCAATCTAGATTCAGTTCCTTGAAACCACATGGGATGAGATTTAATACCATTCAAACTGAGCCATGTACCATGGGACGGGGTCGTTGGGAAGTTCAGGCAACAGTTGTGCTTTACTCTGTTGTTCTCATCAGATATTTCTGTAAAACACTACAGAAATAACCCAAGCACCCCTCCTCAGGGGTCTCACTCACCAGCACCAGCCTTCTCTGTGCCGGGCCAGGGGCCACACTGGGGACACTCAGGGGAAGAGCTCGCTCCATTTGAACAGGACTTCTTCCAAAAAATTCAAAATAAGCCTTGAGAAAACTGCTTTCTACTCCAGGAAAACAAAAGAGCTTGACCTTAACTGCTGCTTAATTTTTGTATTATGCTCCCATCATTCATTGCTATTGACAAGTCAGCTGCGATTAATATACATGATTGCATAAACCAAGACACTCCACAAAATAATAATTAGTAGATTAGCATACAGCTATAGCTTTGTACTCTCAGAGACCCTTTACAAGCGTTAACTAATTAGTGTTTCTTAAACTTCTTTCACCTGGCTCTCACCTGGCTCCTTTCCACTTTCCTTCCTCTTTTCCTGAGCTTTTGCTTGCTTTCAGGGAAACTTCTTTGCCTCTCCCAGCTGTAAAATGTGTATTCTGCCCTTTCATACCACACCTTCCCCCCTGTTGCTCCCTCACCTTCTCTTTTCTTCTTTTCACCCTCAGCCATCCTTGTTCCAATTAAAAAATAGTAATAATAAAAATTAAAAAAGGCAGCTGGAAGAGGCCTAAATACCTCAATGAACAGTGAGGTACGGCAAAAGAGATATTTGCACCCTTATGACAAGGTGAGCAACAGAGAGGGAAGGAAATACAAATGACAGAAAATAGGATAAGGCATGTTAGCCTGAAAGTGAAGACAGCAGAGAGCTATGGGAATGAAAGAATTAGGAGAAGAGAAGAAAAGAGCTGTGCCCTTAATGTTTCCTGTTACTGAAACCAGGACACCTTTTCTTATCACAGAGGTGTCAGGTGTGGTGAGCTCTCTTGCTGCACAGTGCCCACAGAGACTACAGAACCTGTAGCAAAGACCAAAAACTGACAAATATTTAAAATGCAACCAAATTTAATAGTTCATGTTTCATTCCCTATCAATTTCCAGATATTTACAGAATTGAGAGATGTGGTTAAAAATCACTTTTTGTTCAAGAAAGAAAGAAAAACTCTAAAACAAGTACCAACAATTAAAAAAAAATAAAAATGCTACATTTATTTCGCATTCAGTATGAATTTAAAAAAAAAAAAAAAAAAAGAAAAATTTCAAGGAAACATAAGAACCAATTAATCTGAAAGTAACACATACACAAAATCAGAGAAAATCAGAGGTTTATAAATTGCTTATGAATAAGTTTTAAAACAAGCATTTGAAAATTTATAAGAACTAGAAAAGTGAAGTTCTCAAAAAGCCTTTCAAGTAAACTGACAAGGAACCTCTGCTGCACCAGCTCAAGTTCAGTAACCTGACGGAAGTGACTGTACAACAGACTAGAGGAATCCACAGAGAAATAAAGCTCTGCTGGTGATACCAGACCCCCAGTGTCTCTGAGGAGGTCCAGAAGGAAGTGGGTCACTCCTAGCTTCCCCTTAATTACGCTGCAGCAGCTCCACGCATCCAGGTGTGCTGTGGTCACATACGAGGGCCAGCATGGATTGTATTTCTTCCCTTGATACATAACTTGGCTTTTTCAAGAAAAGATTCAGGGCTCCTGTGAGGTGTTGAAGGCAGAGCAGAAACCTAAGTGGGAATTTCCTTGTGCTCTTACTACACGCTCTTGCTACTCAGGGCCTGATTGTCGGGTTTGAGGTAAGGCATCTTCCCCAACAATGAGACTGACGGGACCCATTTTGTTTTTAACTTTCCTCCATGAGATACAGAAGGATTTGGTTTCCTGCGATCATCTGGGAATCTGGCATTGGAAACCTTGTATTTTCCCAGGGACCTACGACATCGGCTGATGGCATCCCCCTCCTCTGCTCTCATCTTGTGTCAAACAGCAGCTGTAACTATTGGCCCTTCCTATGAGGCTCTGTATGTGTTATGTCTGGGAGAACACCTCGGAGTTTGTGGAGAAGATGTTCTGCAGATGCAGACAGAATAGGAAAAACAAACTGCTGGCTGCCCAGAGGAAATCAGCAGCTTTCTGGTATCGGAGAAGCCCTTCTGAGGCACTCCTGCTCTTCTGCGCAGGTCTTCTGCTGGAATACATCTCTGTAGGAGCCCGAGGTACAGGTGAGGGCCACACCACAGGGCAGCATCTGCCTTGTCCACACTGGGTAAGGCTGACTGAAAACCAGTGCATAGGATGGTCAGGCTAGGAATGACTTCTGTTGGGAAACAAAAAAAGTATTGTGGCGAAGCTGGCTCAATAAATTATGTGCAGTGGAGTTAATGCAGGTGTGCTTTCTTGGCCAGGGCTTTACGTGGAGCAGGCATGGGACTCAAGTAGCGACTCTGAGGCAGGGAAATTTGAGATTAGTGGTACTGCCTTCAGCAGAAAACTGATTATTTGGAATTAATGTTAATAAATCTAGCTTTCTTTTCCTATACTTACTCCCTCTCTGCCACCCCTTCCACAAAGACTCCCTGCGTGCCGCTGGCCGATTACGGTAGCCAACACAAAACGAAACCTCTCTCCTTTTCTGTGTGTCACGTACATCCAACGATACAAAACCCCTGTGTCTTTTGCCACGGCTGACATGCCAGTCAGCGCTAGCAATCTTCACTTGGCAAGAATTTCCATGTGAAAGGAATATTCTGAAGAAAGCCTGTGGGCCGGAGCCAAGGTAAAAGCTCCTCACTCCTCTCGCAAATGCTGCTTTTCCAGTGTGAAAGTGCGAGGCTCTGCCCCACAGCCGCCGTTCCCATGGATTTGCCCCAGGTTGAAGCTTGTCATCTTCACAGCAGGAGCAGGACCGGGGTTTTGCAGTGGGATGCGGAGCGCCAACAGCACAAACATTGTTTCTTTGAGACAAAAGAAAAAAAAAAAGGGCTGAAACTTCAGGCAATCATTCCTCTCCAGTGCCAACAGTCCTCAAACATGTCACTGTGGTGTGTTAGGATCCTTCAAGGGGGCAGAAATGCCAGGTAGCCAAGGGCGGCTCAGCCTAGCAGGGAAAGATGTAATCACAGGCAGTGGCTGTGAGCTAAATCCAGGTGATTTAAAATAAGAAGCAAGGTACACGCTTTAAACAGTTACCCACTGCAATGAACCACCGAAGGATGAAGCCGGGCTCCTTGCTTGCTTTGTTTTGCTTTAACTCCTCAGACCAAGGGTAGACGCCCCTCTCTGTGCCAGTCATTGAGCCTGAAAGGAAAGCAGGCCTGAGGGGACTGAGTGAGTTGCCAACATCCTCACGCCACAAAAGAACACGTAAAGCCAGGGTTTCAGCAAAAATATTGGAAATGACTGGTATTGGTGCCGCTACACTTGTGCCATCAGCAGGATTTGGGACCTTGCCACCTCGTCCTGACCCGTGCCACAGACAGCAGGGAGGCTGGGGTGCACTGGGCCGAGGGCTCTGTGGCAGGGACAGGTGGAGGAGATGCTTCACAGAAGATCCGTTCTGAAGAACATTACTGTGATTTTTCTCACAACCCCACACTTGCTTTGTGCCACGGCTGGGTCAGGCAACGCAGCCGGCGGCAGCTTTAGGAGCGCTTGTCCTTACACGGGGACTTAAAACGCCCATTTCCATTCCCTGCCCTTATTTAGGGAACACAATTCGGTTTCATCCGTAACTACCGGCGGCAGAGGCTGTAATTGCATTGCGGCCCAGGTTTATCGGTCCGTGTGTTAATTGCAATTAACCCCTCACACGCAGCGAGGAGCCGGGGCCTGCTCCCCGGCCCGGCCGCGGGCCAACACCGCCGCTCGGCGCCCGAAGCCGGCACTGCTCCGCCTCGCCTCGCCTCGCCGCCGGCGGGGGGTGGGGGGGGGCAGGGTTTTTTGGGGAAAAGCTAGGGGGTGAGGGCACTCTGAGGGCCACTGCCTGGCCTGGTGTGGAAGAGAGCTGCTGCTGGGCGGTGGGACGGGGCGCTGGGGTAGGGGGAGCCGCTGACTGAACGTGGGAGAGATCATGGATGGCATGTAGGGAGAGGAGGAGGGACTGCCATGCTGCGTGTGCTGAGGGATCACTGCTCCCTGGGCTTGTTCTGACTTCCAAACTAGGCTCACATAGGGTCGCGGCCTCTGTCCTCAGGGACTCTGACAGACACAAGGCAGCCGCAGAGCAATACACACACCCCACATGGGTGCAAGCACCCACACATGAGGGCAAGCATCACCACTGCCATCCCAAGTCCATGCCATGGACCTCTCCTGTCAGCAACCAGCCCAGTGTGGTGTCACCTTCCCTCCCTCCTCCTGCCTCGCTCCATGGGTGACCCCAGATGCTTCTCACCCTTTCGGTTCCCCTGCACCCTTAAAGCAGCCAGGGGAAGCCCACAGGGGCTCCTCATCTCCTACCCTGGCCCCACAGTGCTGAGCTCAGCTGCTTTCAGATTTGGGGGGAAGAGGAAAAAAAAAAAAAGAAAAAAAAAAAGAACTCTGGGAATAATAAAGAATTCAGAAAGCCTTCAAATTCAAAAATAAATAAGTAAAGGGAAGGAGGGAGGGAGAACTGTGTGCTCCTTTTGATTAATTCCCTTTCTTCCCACCCCAAAGGCCGTGCGGTAAATAACGTGAAGTATGGCCCCGACAGACACAAACCTTGACTGTCTGTTTACAGACGGCATGAGTGCCAATATTCCAGTGGGACCGTGCAAAACGAATCTGTCAGTGAATCAGAGCACATGTTACGGGGTGTGAAGGTACATGCTTCACATTAAAAACAAATCCTTCAGAATGTGCAGACTACCCTAAATCTACATCTGCCACACTAGTTATTTCTACTACGTTCTTAAAATTCATCCTGAATTTTATTTTCCACATCTTGGAAGTGTTAGATCTGCAAAACCGTATTACAACTGCAGCTGTTGTGAAGTTTGGGTCCAAGTAAGTCTGTAGCTGAAGGCAGGCCAGGATTCTGCTATTTACCTCTGAATATTTTTCCAACCATCTTTTGGAAGCTGCCCTCTTTGAGAAAACCATCACTTCTGCTCACCGTACCACAACCGCTGACACCTGCCTCAGGCTGATCGCAAAGTGCGACTTCTTTGTGCCTGACTCTTTCCAGCTCCACCATCTTTTCCTACTCTTCTCCTTCCAGCCCCTCAATACCAACCTGCTGCACTGCTGCTGCTCCTGCTTCCCTTACTTTGGCCACAGGAGCCACATTTAATGCTACTGAAACCACAGCCATAAGAGTGAGCTTCAAGGAGCAGAAAGCAGCCTAATACTGCCAGGCAAATGGCTAAATTATTTTTTTTATATCATTTTGTGACCCATCACCAACTACCGACAAAGGAAGCGGGCTGGAAGAGTGTTTACACTGCACAGCAATTTACAGTGTAAATTTTGAGTCAGGTCTTTGATGACACCAGAATTCATTCATATGCATTACAAAGCAAATGCAATGTAAGAGAAACATGTCCAATTATATGAGATGTTTTAGTATCAGCTAATAACCCGATGTACTAATTTTTCTTCATAACGAGTTACAGCTACATTATACACAGCCACTCACACTGGATTGAGGTTTGATTTTCAAACCTCAGTTTTTAAGCATGAGGTTTTTATGAGAGTTTTCCTCACAACAACCACGCACCTTCTATCATCATAATAGGACTGCTGCAATTTTGCATCTATAATCCAAAACCAAATTCAAACCTTTTTTTCCTCTAATCTGCACAAATATGAAAGCAGGCTGGACCACAGCAAAAGTACTGTGCTGTTGATAGCTACAGAAGAAGCCAGTTTTGCCCCCATCTGATCCCACTTTTGCTTGCAGGTGGAGAAGAAGGAACATTTCTTCTCTGCTCCTACATGCCAGTGGAGAGAAGAACTATCACGTTCCTTTGGCTGGACTCTGCTGACTGAACTAGGATAAAACATCATAGATCAGAGCTCCTGCTGTAGTTCAGCAATCCTAAATCACAGCCCTTCCTACAGTGCTTGGTCTGAATAATCTGTTTCCTCAGAAAACAGCTCAGCACTTCCCCAACAAGGACCAAGAGAGGACAGCCAAAATTGCCAGCACTCACCAGTTTTCAGCTGCAGTGAGGCAGAGTGCTCCGCATCCTGACCTGAAACAATACCTAAAAGAGGACAAGAAATAAAAATAATAATAATAATAAAAAGACATCTCCCCCAACATAAACACACTACTGAAAGGATTCACTGCTTGCATGTCAAAGCCCACTGACACTTTTGGGACAGCCGTGGCAGCTCAGGAAAGCCCTCTGGATTACAGCACTGTCCACACACACAGCCACATCCACATCCACTGCCCTTGAGGATTTAGGATGTGGTCATACAGGAAAGATGCACTGTTTGCTCACAAACTTCTCTCTACTCAGTATTCAAAGCGGTGTTTTGGGGGTTGACAGACTCCTCCTCAAAGCAGCTTCACTGCAGCGAAAGACCTTGCAGGATCCTGGCGAGCATTACGGAAGCGCACCCAGCTGCCCAGTGTGCATCCAGAAAACATTCGTAGCTCCTGTCCTGCTGGAGGAACAGAGCAGAGAGCTCTGTTGCCACCAAGCCCACCCATCCTGACATGCAGAGGCAGCAGTGCTGTCAGAGATGCATCAGCAGCCCTGAGAAAAAGGTCAGGCAAAGAGCTGTGTGACTGACTGCTCAGGGGTAGGAGGGAAATTGGAAGAGGAAAGTGACTCGATCAATGCCTCTTCTCTTAGTTGAGAAGAAAAAGGGTCACTTCTCATCGTATGTTAACTATCAAAACAAATGCTTTCAGGCACTACATTTGTCGTAGCAAACAAGACAGCAGTCACCAGTGTTACTGTGAAAGCCATCTCATTTCCTCTTCTACTCACCTACCCACCTCAGGCTTTGTGATACGCCTCCAGATTTACAAGCAAACAAACAAACAACAGCAACAAAAATGAGCTTGCAGTATCCAGTTCTACCCTCTTTGTTGAGGACATTGCCTGGTGTGTATTCAGCAGCTGAGATACTCCACGGAGCATAGAAGCTAGAGAATAGGAAAGAAACCAAAAGCACCTCCCCCCTCCACCCTCTTCCACCTCCTCCCCCGAGCGGCGCAGGGGAACGGGGGAATGGAGGTTATGGTCAGTCTACAGCACTTCTTCTCTGCCGCTCCTTCTCGGTCACTCTCGTCCCCTGTGCTGTGGGGTCCACCCACGGGATGCAGTCCTTGATGAACTGATCCGGCGTGGGCTTCCCACAGGCAGCAGCTCTTCCAGAACTGCTCCAGATATGGGTCCGTACCACGGGGTCCATCCCTCAGGAGAAAACTGCTCCAACCTGGCTCCCCTACGGGCAGCAGCTCCTGCCAGATCACCTGCTCCTGCGTGGTCTCCTCTCCACGGGCTACAGGTCCGGCCCGGAATCTGCTCCGGCAGGGGTCTTCCACAGGCGGCAGCCTCCGTCGGTGCAGGGCCACCTGCTCCACCGTGGTCTCCTCCACGGGCTGCAGCGTGGAACCCTGCTCCACCGTGGTACTCCATGGGCTGCAGGGGGACATCCTGCTTCACCATGGTCCTCACCACAGGCCACAGGGGACTTCTGCTCCGGCGCCTGGAGCACCTCTCCCCTCCTTCTACACTGACCTTGGCACCTGCAAGGCTGTTTCTCACTCCCTTGACTCTCCCGGCTGCTGTGCGGCGCAGCAGTTTTTTCCCTGTCTTAAATATGCTCTCACAGAGGCGCAAAACAACATCGCTTATTGGCTCAGATTTGGAAAACAATGGGGCCCTTCCCAAACATGGGGCGGCTTCTAGATCTTTCTCACAGAAACCACCCCTATGGCCCCTGCTACCAAAGCCTTGCCACGTAAACCCACTACATTCCACCCCTCGCCTCTGTGAAAAGCATATTTAAGATTACTCACAATATACTCTTACTTTACAATTATCACAACAACTTTCACAAATTTCACTTAAATCAAAAAGAAAACAAAATTCACCACACCAAAATAAACATAACATCATCACAGCACCGACAAGGTGGACATTTTACACACAAACCACCCCTCGTCCCTTCACCACACTAACATCTCACAGTTACTGCTTTCTTAAATTCTTCACAACTTGTACATTCTTAACAATCATCTTGCGCATATTTTGCCCGTTACTTCTACCAACTATCATCCTTATCTCAAATTCCTCGAGCCCCACGTTGGGCGCCAAAAAGGACTGTCGTGGTTCTGCTCGAGTGGGCAGCCGAGCTCCACCACAGCCGCTCTCTCACTCCCCTCCTCTAAGGGAATGGGGAGAAATATGTGAAAGGGGCTCAAGGATTGAGTAAGGACGAGAAAATCACGCAATAATTAGTGTAACGGGCAAACCAGACTCAGCATAAGACAGATAGTAAGATTTATTGCTCATTACTAACAAGCTAGAGAAGTGAGAAACAAAGGAAAGAAACCAAAAAGCACCTCCCCCCCATCCACCCTCTTCCACCTCCTCCCCCCGAGCGGCGCAGGGGAACGGGGAATGGAGGTTATGGTCAGTCTACAGCACTTCTTCTCTGCGCTCCTTCTCGGTCACTCTCGTCCCTGTGCTGTGGGTCCCACCCACGGGATGCAGTCCTTGATGAACTGATCCGGCGTGGGCTTCCCACAGGCAGCAGCTCTTCCAGAACTGCTCCAGATATGGGTCCGTACCACGGGGTCCATCCCAGGAGAAAAACTGCTCCAACCTGGCTCCCCTACGGGCAGCAGCTCCTGCCAGATCACCTGCTCCTGCGTGGTCTCCTCTCCACGGGCTACAGGTCCGGCCCGGAATCTGCTCCGGCAGGGGTCTTCCACAGGCGGCAGCCTCCGTCGGTGCAGGGCCACCTGCTCCACCGTGGTCTCCTCCACGGGCTGCAGCGTGGAACCCTGCTCCACCGTGGTACTCCATGGGCTGCAGGGGGACATCCTGCTTCACCATGGTCCTCACCACAGGCCACAGGGGACTTCTGCTCCGGCGCCTGGAGCACCTCTCCCCCTCCTTCTACACTGACCTTGGCACCTGCAAGGAGTCAGTAAGAAAACCAAAGACAAATATAGCAGCAGGCAGCATATACAGAAGTAAAAGAAATCAAGAAAACAAGAATTCAAAATTAAAATATATTAAATACCATACATTAGGGAGCACACAGTTCACATGGTAACTTGTACCTGTAGAGATCAAACTACACCCTGTAAAAAACAGTTACAAATAGAAGTCCAACCTAGCAGCCCTTCACATTTTGGGATCTGAAACTGTACCTTTCTGGCCCAATTTTACTTTTGTTCAAAAACAGAAGCACTGCAAAAAGCATCTCTCTACAGACAGTAGTACATGCAGTGCTCACCTTTGTACCTGGCAAGTCCACCTAACCTAGTTAGGATTTGCAAGATTAAAAATAGACATCGAAGACTGAAGCACAGCAGGTGACTTCAGCAACCATTGCCTCTTGCACAAAAGAATACTCCTTATAGGTGAGGGGATTTTTTTTTTCCCCAGACACATCCATGATGGACATGCAAGCCATTTTCTTGCTGGGTTGAACTATGGCCCATGGTGCAACAGAGATCCTTCCATGCTACCGATGATGACCCAAGCACCCAGTGCTCATCAGCAGGAGGGGGAGAGTCATGTTCCCTTTGTAGGTAATGCAAATTTAGCTCACAGAGGCAGATTTTTTTTTTTTTTTTCTTCAGACAGGCTACCTTACTGGGCATGGGAAAAGAGGAACAGCCTCTCTGGATTACCGTTTCCCTCTAACATACTGGAAGTGTTAGGGTTTTGTCAACAAGGGAACGTATTACTAGCTTGTGGTGACACTGGGAGCAGAAGCAACCTGTAAGTGAAGCAGAGAGCTCAGGATTTCAAGATGAAAGGGTAGCTGAAGCTTTCTCTTGTATTGAGGAGAAAATATATATAGTATGGGGAGAAAACTTGGAAATGTATCCAGCATGAAAGTTAAAGGGAGGAGAATTAGAAAACTATGGAAGTAAAACTAAATTTCTAAGCCACGTATTTTTAGGCTAAAAAGGGAAAACTCTAACTTTGAGTGCTTTAGTTACTGTAAGCAGACAGGAGAAAACAAGCAGTCTAATCCTCTGTGGCCTTCCATAGGGTGCATGAGGCCAAGGGACATGACAAGTGCTTTCAGAAACAGTGCTGATTTAGGGTGCTCTGTGCATTAGACACACGTTGCTGTCCCAAAACACTACCTATAGGTAACTGCACCATCTCCATGCGACTGCAACATGGCACTCGCTAATTAAACCTCCAGGTGTGCAGCTTGCTCCTGCTGCTCAGGAGCAAGCTTTCTACTTGTGGAGTCACATCCAAAAAGCATTCCAGGATAAGCAGACACACTCACCTCTGCCTAGGGCTGGTGGGGTAAGGGTCAGTGGGCTTTTCAAAGGAGCTACAACGCCATCTCTTCTCTCACAGGAGCACCAGAAGGAGTCTTTTCCAAACCAGTTTCTCCCTTTGGAGCCTTTGATTACTGCCAGTATTTCCCATCACAGGGTTTAAAAAATTACATGGTTGATGCAGCTAAGGACAATGTGACTGCCAACATTTGTCAGCTAGAACTGAGCACATCCAACTTTCTTTCCCCTTGAATCTAAGCCCTGTTATATATGTAAAAGCACAAACACGTTCGTGTTCCCAGTGCAAAACCGCTTGTACTTGCTTTTCCCTAGTGCAAAAACCTCCATCTGTGCTTCAATTAAAGTGTTCTAATGGAATATTTTTTTTATGAACTGCTTTGTTGTAACTGCTCAGTGCACTAGTGACAGACACCGCTTGTGTGCACAAGTCCCCGTTTACCATCCAGCTGCAAACTGGTGGCAGGCTGGGCTGAAGCGAGCGGTGAGCACGGCGTGCTGGCTTCCAGCTGCAAAACCTGACAGAAAACCCTGCTTTGGGCCAAGAGCATGGAAGCCCAACAAGTACTAAATCCCTGGCAGAATACTTTGCCTTTAGGTCCAGGGAAAGCAGTAGCTGAAGGCAGCTGTAAACAGCCTTTTCTGGTTATTACATTATTCTGGTTATTACGTTACCTGTGAAGTCAGGTGCCCCACAGCCACTGTGGGTACCTACCAGGTTGTGTCATGGGCTCAGCAGCATCCCCAGCATTCGTGGCGTGGAGTCAGGGCTGCGGGAGGTGAGGGCAACCCACCATGAGGAGCCAGCCCAGGCATATTTAAGGCAGAGGCAGCTGCCAGGGGCTGGAGGTGGCCCAGGGGGTGCCACAGGAAAGGTGGAAGGAGACCTTGTAGGTGCTCCATGATGAAGGGGGGCACAGCTGAGGGACTGTGGCACACGGGTGAACCACACCAGGGCAGGGACACCCTGAGGGACTGAGGGTGACGTGCGGCCAAAGCAAGGGATGTGGAGATGAGGAAGGGGGCAGACAAGGTGTTTGACTGCATTGACCCTGGGGAAGACAGAGCAGGAAAGGGGCTTCTCCTTACCTATTTTTTTTTAATTTTTTTCTTCTCAACACCCAAGTCAGTGATTAGAACTTTGTGTTAATTGGCAGTAAATTCAGTTCCATAAAAAATTCCTCAAGTTGAGACATTTTTGCCCACAACCCCAAACTACACTTGCCCTTACCTTAAAAGATTTCCAGCTTATTTTCTCCTATTTCATGTGCATCGTTTACAGAGGTGCAAAACTAACAGACGCAGCACTGCACAATGTCAGGTGCTGAGCAGGCAGGTTTGCACCGTGTTCCCATTTCAGGTTCCTTTACATTACCTTTGTAGTCAGTGCATGAGGTGAAACAGGCAAAATCAGTCTTCACAGCCCCTACAGCTGTGACAAAGGGTGCACACAGCACAGCCCTTGATGAAACTGGAGCTGACAAGGATCCATGCAACTACCAGTAAGGAGGACTGGGAGACCTCGTGGTTCGGTCAGCATCAACCTATCCCAGCCGTGACAACATGTGCCACAGACAAGCATTTAAAGTGTTTGCATGTCATGATCTGAAGTTTCTAATTAAGAAAAAAAAAAAAAAGGGCTATTCAGCTGAG